AAAATATTTGAGGAATTGTCGGTGAGTTTATAAGAAATTCAACATTCACATTATTAATCGAATTGAGAGTATGAGAAATTCCAATGCAATGAAGTTTGGTGAGCAACCGAGCAATAAAATCTAATGGAAAACGGCAATACTAAGCCGAATTCTCCGAACTTTTATTTTTAGCGATTCTCATTACAGTGATTAATTGTGACAATGAGGTGAAGAATCACACGAGGAGTGGAGCTGCTGCATCGACTGATTTGTATTATACTCTCGCTTTCGATTCTGCACTTGAAAGAAACAATTTTACAATGCGTTTTCAGTAAAATTGGCTGCAAATCTTAAAACTCAGCGGAATACTTTCTCAGGGAATGCTAGCAATTCCCACTGGATAAAGCAATTAAAGAACCTTGAATTTTTGTTTCGGTTTCACTGTCGGTAGTAACTCCTGAAAACTGCTCCTCGAGAATGAGCCGCTCAGCGGCGAACCGTTCGCACCGTTTGCTGCCGACTTTAGAAGAGCGTTGTTGTTCGAGGTAAAGACACGTAAACAACTACAGATCACACATGAGCCGAACAGGAGAAAAAATGCTTAAAAAATTAATATTACTCGAATAGTGGGAAATTCTTCTTCATAGTTACTCCAAGAAAAAGGAACTTATGAAAAACCGTGTGATTTTTGACTAAAAGCTTAAAAGCAACTCATTTCTGAGGTTCACAGAATGTTGATATTAAGATCTCTTTATTTTCGTCAAGCTCGCGAAACTTCATCAGAACTTTACGGAAATGGTTTTTTTAAAGCTTTTTTTAAACAAAACTTCTGGAGGAATTCGTTACAAGACAAGTTTGAAAATGATATGTTGATATGTTATATTCAGAAATAATTGAAGGAACTGAATTGAAGCAAACCACAACAAGATGACGAGTAAGTGTTACCGATGCATGCACCGTTCATAACAAAGAAGCCAATCAGCATGTCCACTTCACCAGGTCCATCAGTAAACGTCCTTGACTTGAAGCCACCAGCAGCAGTAACAGCTGCATCAGGCTTATCCCTTGTTGTTTGGCTATCAATCCGCGAAGAACGTGCACCAGGATTCAGATTTAGAATGGCCATTAGTAGCGAAGAATGATCTAAACAACTGAATGACGAGTGAATAGATTCATGAGAAACGAATAGATTCATGAGAAATGTTCAGTTACGGTGTATTGGTAACGGTATGCGTAAAGCCTAATTATTGTTTGAACCTGATGTTCGCAACGAATAAATGAGATAAGAAAATATCATATCGAGATTGTCCCAGTGGATCTTTGAAACCAGTCAGACTGAGGAAATATTTTTATAGAGATGAAGATATTAGGACCTATGGAATGGCGAATGCACGACTGGCTTAATAAAGCAACTTCACGAAATATTCATTGAAGAAGACTAGAATATCTCTGCGAATCAACAAGAAATGGCAAGCAAGTGAATGCAGGAAAGGAAAGCATGGATTATTTAATTGTAAGAAAGCATCCTTCCGGATGTTCACATTTTCTTTGAATTCTCGAGATTTTTTCGTAACAACTCAACGAAAAGTTCCTTGGTAATGTATAAACTGATTCATTGAGAATCAACATTCCGCGCGGCTTAATCCAATATTCAAAATATGATTTAGTGCAGCAAAGCGAGATCAAAAATGTACTCCAGATCAGAGATCTATCTTCACTTGAAAACCTCAAATCTATCTTTCAGCAACTCACTGAAGTAGGAACATTGTCCTCATGAAAATATAAACCAACTAAGGATCAGATAAAACATCGAAATTTGAATCGAATGCTATCTGCAGGATAACTTAACAAGTTTAGTTGGTTGACAAACGATTTCTACCACCGGAAAACAAACGAGGTATAGCCAAAGTACCCGTACTGAAGTGTGGAATGTGAAGAAGAACATCATTTGTAGCATTCCCGTAATTTGCTTGATCAAACAGAAAATGAAAAAATACCGTCCGTTGTCAGGGAGACGAAAAATACCCTATGAACAGCTACGAATAACTCACGATCTGCGTTAGTGTACAAAGCGATAATTGTATATAATTGCTAACTGATATATCACAATGATACATCACATGAAAGAGAATGTACCTACAAACGGAGATATTAAATGAAATCAACCATAGTCATTGTGAATCTCTTATTAGGTAAAATAGTAAAATTATGATAAGCTGAGTTAGAAGAGCGTTTCAACTTAGTTCACGTATCCCACGAATATACCATTTCATTCTCGTCATGAAGCTAGAATGAAAAGGAGATAAAATTTCATTGATTCACTCCAGATGGAATAAACGCTTGTAGATGACATGAAGGAATTGAATGCGATACACTTCACGCAACGGATGAATCAATAAATTCAAAAACATAAAACATTTCAGCACTTAAACGAAACATAAAGGATTCCAAAAGGCGCATAAAATTGATACTTTTATAGCAACTCATTCATAGGATCCATTGAAGAACTGGATTTATTTGTGATTCTGGCGTGCGTTTCCTTCAAATAACAGTGCTAAGATTTGCATATTCTCCAACGAGAGAAAAGCGTTCCATATACGAACCATTAAGTCTGTAAGTAAGTAAGATCCTCTCTAAAACAGAATCGACAAAACTTTTTTCAGCTCATTCAAGAAGTCCACCACTCCAGAAGTTCACTCATCGTCACTTCACTCAATTCAATGGTCAATTTTTTTCACTTTTCCTCGGATTTCTCTGGCTGTCTCGTTGAACACATGGAAGCTGGAAGTTCGAAGCATTCAAGAGGATGAACGAATCAAAAAACTAGAAACCCACATCGAGCATGTCGATGTCGCTACGAAACATACTCGTTATCGATGGAACGCTGCGCTGGAATGCATAAGCTGATGATTGATATGTTTTATTTATGAACCAAACAACTATGAGTATGACTAGCATGAGGATGAGATATGTTATAGCCAAGATAGCATCACAAGAGACTGATGCTACCATATGAATACGAAATAATTGGTAATAAATTTTGATGTATTCAGCAAAAAGAAGAATGGTAAATGACCAAATGATTCCAGAGATTCAGAAGAGGTAATTAATCAATAAGTTGAGGTTTATGGACAAGCAAAGTGACAGGATAATAGATCAAAAATGACTTTAGAGTGACAGGATAATAGATCAAATGCGCAGAATCAGCGCAATGTTCATCCAGAAGAGAGAATTAAGTTTCAGTTAGGCGTTCAAATGGAATGAATTCATGGGATTGTATATTCTTACTCAATCGTTCATACGAACAGCGACGACGTTTCGTACTGAAGGAATAAATTGCTTATTGTTAGCAGTTAGCATTTGGCATCTAATGAAGGAATTGTGACGAAAAGAAGTCAACACCTTCACAAGCACACAAACACTCAATGCAAAATTTTCCAAGCAATTCAATTTCCACATAAACAAATCCAAGTAATCAGGCATTGCGAAAGAAACTTATAAAATCACGATATCGCACTTGCCTGCTGAGAAAACTCAGCTAATGCAACATACTATGTTATGAGAAAGTGCAAAAGAAATTCGAGCACATATAAATTGAACTGAGAATGAGAGCGTCTTTCAACTTTTCTAATAGGCTCAAAAGTTTACTGAAAATCCGAAATGTTGAGAATAATCCGGAGGATCAATTCGGAATCTGCATGGCACTATGGTGCCCTTCATGAATTTAATCTCATATCTGGAAACGATTGAACATGAAAGGGTGTTACAACAAAGAATCAGTGGATAGAAAGCAAATGGCTATATCTTTGGAGAGCAGGGAAGTATGAAATACATGGAGAAGATAGGAGGATACAATACGCTTGATTGACAGAATATCCCATTCCGTGAATTGTCACTTTTTGCTACTTTACATGCCGTTAGGTGCTGCTATCGAATCATTAGAGTAGTTACGATTGAGTTACCTTATTTGAACAAATGAAGAGATATACTAACCGAATACTCAGAGGAATAAGTGGAGTAGATAGAAGTGCAATAAGGAAGATGCCTTTCACGTCTGCCTGCTGTCCTCTAAAGGATTACTGTAGCATTACTTCAGATTAAGTGAGATTGAACAATAGCTGACATTCTCATGCACCTATCGATTCCATTTATGTTATGAGCTCATGCAAGAGAGATTGCCTCATAGCAGGGTTGCTGATGCTTCAAGAGAAACGTTAACTTTCAGCTTACTGTCAGTACATTTGATCTATAACAATTTCCTATGATTTCCCTAATGAGGACATTAGTGGCATGAAAAAAAAGGCATAGTGTTACTCGAAACATATCAGTGTGTTCAAATTCTGAGAAATTAGCACGATGCACATCATTCACTTAACTATTCTTGTATTCTACGTTCGCAAACGCATTGAGAAATTTGGAATGAAGCAGTGTATTTGTTCCGCAACAACACGGAATAATCTCACCAGCTAGGAACATGGAATAGTCACCAGCTAGGAACATGGAATAATCATCAGCTAGGAACATGGAATAATGACTAGCTAGGAACAACTGATGGCAATGACCTCGAATATAACCTATACTATCACTGGAGACAACTGATATAACGTTCGAATATGATATCAAATGATATTATTTGCTGTTTTCGAAACAACGATGCTGATGAAAATGACTTTCAGCTGTCTACGAAGTTAAAGTTAGTGAATGAACGAACAAAATAACTGAGAATCATTGACAGAGCAATGGAGACGCTTTGAAGTATTGAACATGGTGAAATGCTTGCAGATCGAATTTCTTTCAGAATATCTTGCAGTTTTGGAGTTGCTTAACACTATGATGCGAGTTGACTCAATTTGCTTCCCGTTGCGATTCTTCCATTTATCGTTCAACTTTTCAATCACGCCCCTCACTTCAACTCGTCCCATCATCACATATTCTCATAATCAAGAATCTATACTAACATCGAAGCAGCAAGCCTCTAGTGGAAAATAACCAAAAATATTAGTGTTATCTCTTGAATTATTTGTTATCAGATTAGGATTAAGTGGAAGACACCAGTCTCAAACAGTCATGCAACCAACGAAGTTGATGCACTCTTTTTGATCATATTTATTTTCCATTCATTCCAAGCAATCGATCTGTCATTATCTATCGATATGCATCGATTCACTGCCGGAAAATCATATGAAAACGCAAAAGCGAACTGAAAAAACTTGTACACGTTACTGATTGAACTTATTTGGCGTACCAGAGTTGTGGTCGTGATTGGATTCAGATGAGTGGAAATTTGCTGGTGCTGCCGTTGTGAAAGGATCCATGGGGCTCCAAAAATTTGCTGCAATTTTATCGATTGTCACTGATTGTGAGAATAATTAACACGAAAGTGAGGCAGTGAACATTTGAGATGTAATTGGTAACGCTTGATGATATTGAAGTTGAATAGCAAGTACCGTCAGTGACGATGTAATCCCTGCTCGCTCTACTGTTGAACATAATCCAGTTGTTTTGTAAAAATATGACTAATGAATTCCCTTGAGTTGCTGATTATCGTTATATCCGCCTCATCAATGATTTTTTTCCAAACTGTTATTCTAAAGAATTGCTCTTCTAGTCAACTGAGAAGTGAGAAATTATGCTGTGTACATCATTAGTGCCGATCACAATTTATCGGGGACGATACTTTTATTTACTACAACCTGCTGGACCCAAATGCTTGATAATAGAAAGAATACTGATTCGAAGAATGAAGTCGAAAGTCGAAAGTCCGAAAGTCGAAAGTCAACCTTGCTAAAAGTCGAATTAGTGGTAAAAACATAAAGTGCATTCGCCTGTTACGGTCTTGAAAACACGCATAGCTCTAGAATCATTCCAGAAAATGTGGCTAAAATAGCGATTTCAACCGATCTAGTTGCATTTCCAGAACACAGAAGCTCACCTTCGTGAAGTTCCTTGGTTACCGATGGAACAGACGTTAGGCTCGGTGCGAGTGATAAGTTGGCAATAAGGTGATTTGATATTGATAATGACATCCTCAACTAAGTACAGTCCGACTGTAGGAAGTAAAACTAAAGTTTTTGAAATATTCCGAGTTCAATTCCACAATTGAAGTCCATCAGAAT